AGGAAAAGAAAAAAGGGAAAAATGAAGGAATGAAAAAAAAGACCACAGAGGCCAAAGTTCTGGCGTAAACAAGACAAATAAGACGGCAGCAGAAGAGGAAGGAGACTGCAGATACAAACGTGTCACATGAGTTACAGTAAAGCTTTCTGAGTCTCCCTAACGTCATTAAGACACCCTAATGTCACCTGAGGTACTGTAAAACTTCCTGAGTCTCCCTAACGTCATTAAGACACCCTAATGTCACCTGAGGTACTGTAAAGCTTCCTGAGTCTCCCTAACGTCATTAAGACACCCTAATGTCACCTGAGGTACTGTAAAACTTCCTGAGTCTCCCTAACGTCATTAAGACACCCTAATGTCACCTGAGGTACTGTAAAGCTTCCTGAGTCTCCCTAACGTCATTAAGACACCCTAATGCCACCTGAGGTACTGTAAAACTTCCTGAGTCTCCCTAACGTCATTAAGACACCCTAATGCCACCTGAGGTACTGTAAAGCTTCCTGAGTCTCCCTAACGTCAATAAGACACCCTAATGTCACCTGAGGTACTGTAAAGCTTCCTGAGTCTCCCTAACGTCATTAAGACACACTAATGTCACCTGAGGTACTGTAAAACTTCCTGAGTCTCCCTAACGTCATTAAGACACCCTAATGCCACCTGAGGTACTGTAAAACTTCCTGAGTCTCCCTAACGTCAATAAGACACACTAATGTCACCTGAGGTACTGTAAAGCTTCCTGAGTCTCCCTAACGTCAATAAGACACACTAATGTCACCCAAGTTACCTTACCGTAAAGCTTCCTGAGTCACCCTAATGTCATTAAGACACCCTGATGTCACCCGAGTTACCTTATCATAAAGCTTCCTGAGTCTCCCTAACGTCATTAAGACACCCTAATATCACCGCAATTACCGTACCATAAAGCTTCCTGAGTCACCTTAATGTCATTAGGACATTCTAATGTCACCTGAGTTACCTTGTCATAAAGCTGCCCATTCGAGTTTCCTAAGGTCACCCGACTCAATGTCACCTGAGTCACCCTGAGTTCCTGCAGTATCACAGTGGATCACTTGATCTGTCTGATTATCAGCATTAGAATGGACTGATAGATTCAGATGTACAGATGTACTGGCTTGCGGAGCAATCTACGGTGCTCCTATTGGTCAGAAAGTTATCGGACAGTGTTGGTGTTGGTCAGTAGATGTGGGTCACCTTCCTGCCAGCTGCGATTCATCACAACGCTCCATTTAACTTGACAAGACCCAGTCATGGCACCCTGCCAGGCTCATATCCGGATCAATAACAACACTGCTCAGACAAATCAATGCTAATCATCAGACCTACTGAAAATTAGCGGCACAGCTAGTTCTGTGTGCAGCTCCGTCGCTAACACTAGCGCACTAAACTGTAGTTCCAGTAAAGTTCAGGTGATGAAGTGTCCATCAGGGCAGTGCTAACACGCTCAGAGTCTTCATTCACACGTTTCATTCTAAACTGAACACTGTGACCTTCACTCAGCATCTGACCACATCTGACCACACAAGCACGATTAACAGAGCAGTGACAGCTTACAATAAACAGACACCCACAGCCACTCACTGCGGAATATCACTGCACTGAAGTCAGGCCTTCTTTCTCTGGAACTGAAGAGCCTCTCAACAGTGAAGGGAACAATCCAGAACGCGGGTCTGACCTAACGGACCAAACACTCGACCACGCGCCCCTGAGGGGTCTGTCAGCAGGCTGTAGAGCGCGTGTGCGTGTGTGTGTGTGTGTATGTCTGTGTGTGTGTGTGTGTGTGTGTGTATGTGTGTGTGTGTGTGTATGTGTGTGTGTGTGTGTGTGTGTGTGTGTGTGTGTGTCTAAACCTGTCTTTATAACCATGGAATACAAAAATGAATCAGATCACAGTAAGAACACTGTGATGGATAACTAAAATGAACAGTAAAGTTTGCTACTGGTAATGGAATTGAACTCATTTTATCTTTCTTAATGAGATGTGATTCATATTACTGTTCCTAATGAGATGTGAGTCATATTACTGTTCCTAATGAGATGTGATTGCACTGTTCTTAATGAGATATGATCGCACTGTTCTTAATGAGGTGTGAGTCATATTACTGTTCCTAATGAGATGTGATTGCACTGTTCCTAATGAGATGTGATTGCACTGTTCTTAATGAGGTGTGAGTCATATTACTGTTCCTAATGAGATGTGATCGCACTGTTCTTAATGAGGTGTGAGTCATATTACTGTTCCTAATGAGATGTGATTGCACTGTTCCTAATGAGGTATTGTTCATATAACTGTTCCTAATGAGATGTGATTGCACTGTTCTTAATGAGATGTGATTGCACTGTTCTTAATGAGATGTGGTTCATATTAGCGTTCCTAATGAGATGTGATCGCACTGTTCTTAATGAGATGTGATCGCACTGTTCTTAATGAGGTGTGAGTCATATTATTGTTCTTAATGAGATGTGATTGCACTGTTCTTAATGAGGTGTGAGTCATATTACTGTTCCTAATGACATGTGATTGCACTGTTCTTAATGAGATGTGAGTCATATTACTGTTCTTAATGAGATGTGATTGCACTGTTCTTAATGAGGTATTGTTCATATTACTGTTCCTAATGAGATGTGATTGCACTGTTCCTAATGAGATGTGACTGCACTGTTCTTAATGAGATGTGATTGCACTGTTCCTAATGAGATGTGATTGCACTGTTCCTAATGAGATGTGAGTCATATTATGGTTCCTAATGAGATGTGATTGCACTGTTCCTAATGAGATGTGAGTCATATTATGGTTCCTAATGAGATGTGATTGCACTGTTCCTAATGAGATGTGAGTCATATTACTGTTCCTAATGAGATGTGATTGCACTGTTCTTAATGAGGTATTGGTCATATAACTGTTCCTAATGAGA